TACTTCATTCATTCCACTAACCTAAAGACCTACTTTTCATCCAGATACCACAAGAAAAGGCTGAAGTAGCTGAGCATGGAGCTCTACAGTCAGGAAGCAGCAAAAAGGGTAGCAGAGATGGGTTCCTGTATGCCCCTGCAGCCTCTGGCAATGCTTAAGAAGTGTCCTGAGGTCCCTGAGATGCACTAATTTAACTGGCATGGCTGATGATGCAAGGCAGAGATGCTGCCCAAGGGCAGCAAGGCAAAGGCTAGGAGGGAAAAGATTGTATTAACCTTTTTTGACCTTGGGTTTGGGGAATGAATGCCCTCTGTGTGCTGCCACACACCCTTTCCCCCAATAAAGGAACTGAGAACAGAAAAAAACAATAAATACCAAAATAAAAAGGGAATAGGAGATGAATGTATTCAAATACAACAAATTCTAGATTCTATCCTGGAAGGAAAAAATGCTATAAAGGACATTATTGAGTAGTTGACAAAATCAAAAATATGGACAGTAGATAAGATTAAGACTATTACGACATTGTTCTTAAAGTTAATAACTGGACTGGCAATATCCTTATTGCCAGGGAAGCTGTATTTAAAGGTAATGAGGCATCATAAATGCAACTTTCTCTCAAATAGATAAGGGAGTGGGGGAATCATATGAAGGAAATAGATGAGTACTTTTTGCACTGTTTTTATTCTCATAATTTTTCTCTGAATTTGAAATCATTTCCAAATAAAGGGTTTTTTAATACGCTTTAAGTCAAGTGACAATTAAAAACCTAAACTTGAAAAATCATTGGGAAACATGCTAGATGAAATAGACAAGACACAAAAGAAGAAATATTATATTATCCCTCTCATATGAGGTACCTAGAATAGGCAAGTTTATGGAAACAGAGGAACAATGGTTACTAGGGATTAGGAGTGGGAAGAGAACAAAGAGTATTTATTTTTTTTTATTTTTTTTATTTTTTAAAGATTTATTTATTTATTGTATTTATTTATACAAGCACTGGGTACAGTCAGAAGCGCAGGAGGGTGAGAGAATTCACCAGAGCCAGAGCGGGGAGCAGAGCAGGCAGAAGGACCGAAGTACACTGCTGAGGGGAGCAGCGGGCGGCAGGAGAGGTCTGCGCGCCATACGGGACCCTCCTCCGGTGGCCGGGGAGCAGCCGGGGATCGAACCGGCGCTGCATAGGCTGCGGGCAGCTTCGCAACCCAGTTCTCAACCGCTGCGCCACCGGGGAGGCCCAACAAAGAGTATTTAAATTTTTTTTTTTTTTTTTTTTAATAGAGGCATGCTTTATTTATTTGTTTGCTGGTTTGTTTGTTTTGTTTATACATGCACTGGGTACAGTCAGAAGTGCGGGAGGGTGAGAGAATTCACCAGAGCCAGAGCGGGGAGCAGAGCAGGCAGAAGGACCGAAGTACACTGCTGAGGGGAGCAGCGGGCGGCAGGAGAGGTCTGCGCACCATGTGGGACCCTCCTCCGGTGGCCGGGGAGCAGCCGGGGATCGAACCGGCGCCGCAGAGGCTGCGGGCAGCCTCGCAACCCAGCGCTCAACCGCTGCGCCACCGGGGAGGCCCCAACAAAGAGTATTTAATGTAAAGTTTAGCACAGTTTCTATTGGTGTGATAAAAAAATTCTGGAAATCTGTAGAATTGATGGCTAAACAACATCATAAAATATACTTAATGCCATGAATTGTACACTTAAAAGTGGTTAAAACAGTAAATTTAAGTTATGTATATTTTACACAATTAAAAAAGTTATCTTGGGTATGATTATTCACATTTTGAAAGGATTCCCAATGATTCTATAAATATAGGTTCCCTTTATTTAAGCCATTTTACACAACTTTTAAAATTCACATCAGCTACCCGCTACCTTATCCACTTAAAATTGATTATATAACATCTGTAGTTCATCTCAGTTGGTTTTTAAAAATAGATTACTGAAAAACTGATATTCATCTGGGCAAAGGTCTTAGTGTTTTTTCTGCTTCCAGGTTTTTCAACTGTCAAAGCAAATGTCTCTTCAGAGTACTTCACTTTAGTCATCAACTCACTCTTCTCTTAGAAAGAGAATGCTGGTACTTATGCTTTACAAAAATATTTCATAAACATAAGCTTTTCTTTTACTCACAAAGATCATACCAGGAGGGATGAGGAAAACAGATGTTGCTTATAAGGTTTCTAATAGACATGTTTCCATTGTAAGCTGATCTGATTCTGAATTTGGCATCTGCTCCGTTCACTGTGTGGGCTGAGCATTTTAGTCTCACAGTTTGGCTGAAAGTTAATATTGACCTTTGTTACCTGAAAACTCAATGATAAAATACTCTTACAAAACCTCTTGAGACACTGATTTCACATCCTAAGCAAACATCTTCAAAATACATCACTCCATTAATCAAATTAATGTTGTTCTTTGCTTGGGAATATTTATTTAATCAGATACAGGGCATTCCCCAAATCTGACAGAGAAAAGCCTGTGTGGTCAGAAAGGTAGAAGAGAAAGGACACAGATCTCGTAAATACTCTCTCCTGGTCACTGTACCACAGCTTCTCAATTACCCTTCACCCCATACTCCACCCCCACCCCCTAAGCTCCTCGGGTCCTGGGGGAAGGCATAGCAATCTGGCTATGCAACAGTTTCCCATTATCTCTTCTTCTGAGTATTTGAGTACTGCTGGAGCAGCTCATATTTCCCCTGGAGGGAAAATAGCTCCAGATTCTTCTTTTCTTGACTTATCTTACTTGTAACTACAACACTTTTTTCTTTTGTAGTTTTATTACATTATAGTAAACTGTACATATTTAAAGGATACAATTTTATAAATGTTGACATATGTATACACCCATGAACCCTACACATCCGCCACTCCCACTCTCCTCTTACAGTCCTGCCTACCTGCTGCTTCTTATCTTCATTTGAATTGTTTCCGAATTGGGGCTAGTATAAAGCTGCTGTGAACTGTCATTTATAAATCTTTGTACAAATATATGATTTCATTTATTTAAATACCTAGAAATAGAAATAGAATGATTGGGTGATGTTGTAGATCTCTGCTTAGCTTTTTAAGAAACTGACAAGTGGGGCCTCCCCTGGTGGCGCAGGTGGTTGAGCGCCACACTGTGAAGCTGTCTGCAGCCTCTGCAGCGCCGGCTCGAACCCGGCCAGCCGGTGAGGGTCCCACATGGCGCAGCAGACCTCTCCCGACTCGCCCGCTGCTCCCCTCAGCAGTGTATTTCATCAGTCTGCCTGTTCTGTTCCCCGCTCTGGCTCTCGTGAGCCCTCTCACCCTTCCATGCATCTGGCCTGTACCCCGGTTCTTTTATAAATAAATAAATAAATCTTAAAAAAAAAAAGAAAAGAAATTGACAAGTGGTTTTCCAAAGTAGCCTAATCATTTTACATTCCCATAATCTGTGTGTGAGAGTTCCAATGGATCCCCATCCTTGTCAGTACTCTTTGCACTTATGCTCATGAGGAATATTGATTTATAGTTTTCCAATTTTACCATCAGAGTAATGGTAGCCACAAAGAAGGAGTTGGGAAGTATTTCCTCCTCTTCAGTTTTCTGAAGTTTGCATAGCATCTGTACTATTTTTTGTCGTTTATATTTTAGTAGAATTCACCCGCTATGCCATCTGGATCAGGATTTTTCTTTATGGGAAGCTTTTGAACTACAAAATCAATATATGTAATAGATGCAGTACTGTTCATGTTACCTTCTTCCTGAGTGGACTTTAATAATTTGCATCTTGGGCCTCCCTGGTGGCGCAGGGGTTGAGCGCTGGGTTGCGAGGCTGCCCGCAGCCTCTGCAGCGCTGGTTCGATCCCCGGGTGCTCCCGGGCCACCGGAGGAGGATCCCACATGGCGCACAGACCTCTCCTGCCGCCCGCTGCTCCCCTCAGCAGTGTACTTCGGTCCTTCTGCCTGCTCTGCTCCCCGCTCTGGCTCTGGTGATTCTCTCACCCCCCCACTTCTGACTGTACCCAGTGCTGTATAAATAATAAATAAAAATAAATATTTTAAAAAAAAAATAATTTGCATCTTTCCAGGAATTTGTCCAATTCATCTGAGCTGTCAAATCTATTAGAATAAAGTTGTTAAATAATATTGCCTTGTTATCCTTTCATGTGTTATAGATTCTATAGTGATATCACCTCTCTCATTCCCAATATTTGTAATTTATGTCTTCACTCTTTTATGCCCTAATCAGTCTTCCTTGATGTTTAATTTTGTCTATTTGGACTCCCAACTCCATCTTCTCAATTCAGATTCTACTTAGGTTGTCCTGTGGGCATTGTGCCCTCATAACTCTTAAAAAGTCTGAGCAATTTCACAGTTTATTTTATTTATTTCCCTTCATTCATGGATCTTTTGTGATAGATGTGCTATATTTGAAAAATGTTTCATATACTTGTATCTTTACATTAGTTGTTTCTAAGGAAAGAGTAAATCTAGTTACTTTAATTTCATTATGCTAGACCAAAAAAATTATTTCACACTTACTTTTGGGAGTGAAAGTAAGATGTAAGGTTCATCATAACTTTTCAACTCTGATTTGTACTTGGAAAGAAATCCAAATGATAGAATTTTGTCCAAAGAGCAATATGCTAGGAATAACAATACGGAAGGAATCCAGACAGAAGAGGAAAGAGATAATTAACTCCCCAGCTACAAAGATCCAAGGTAACATTTGCCTTGTATTTCTTACTAATAATTTTCTCATCTCAAAGCTAAATAAGACATGATGTTTTAGGCTTAGAAAGACTAGATTGACTTGATTGTGAATTGTTACGTGCCTCCTTGAGCTCTTTTAAAGAAATAATCGGGACATTGTTGATGTTTAGGGGATGATCTCTCTACCCTTGAGATTCAGCACTTATTATGAGACTAAAGTCAGATAGGTACTAAAGTCAGTTAGGTCTGATCTCATATGACATTTCTGACTCTGTTACAAAATACTCACGTTCTTCCTTTTTGTCTGTTTCCCAGGTTTTCTGTCTCAGCTGGTCTATGACAAGCCCCTGACTGAATGCATCCGTGCTGGCCACTATGCAGCAAGTGTCATAATTAAGCGGAGTGGCTGCACCTTTCCTGAGAAGCCAGACTTCCACTGATGGAAAAGCAGGAAACCCAAGTGCAAGAGTACAGACACTGCCCTGATTGTTTCCAATAACTTCCCATATCAATAAGGAAGAAAATTATCTGCCATTTTTTCCTACTATATTATTCATCCTTAATTTAGATGATACAATAATGCTCGATAGGGCCTTTATTCTCTCAATATCCTAAAAAAATTATGTTTATTTCCATGATTTGATAATACAATTTAAATGTCAATTAAACAGGAATATAACATTTCAATAGAAATTTTTATTTCATTTTCAATTACATTGTAAATTCATGTGTATTTAGCAAATTAATCTTTTTTTTTTTTACATTTCTGCTTTGAATGCAGATGCAATTTAATATAATAGATTTTTTAAATGAATTAATCCTGACACATCAATCTTTAGCTTTTTATATAAGTATATTTAATTTAGGTATATGTATGTATCACATATATACATGATAAATGGTCAAATAAGTATAGAAATAATTATCTTGCCAAACTTTGCCAAATAATCTCTTCAGTGTGTACTCAGACATATAATAAAACTTTGAATAATTAATTTGCCAAATTTTAAGTTCTACAATATTTAAATCATAATCTCATATTTACTTATGGTACTCTGTAATTTGACATAAATAAAAACTTATCATGTAGGAATTTTCTCTGTGTTTGCCCTGTACTCAACAAACTGAGGAAGAAAGATCAATGTCATTTGGGCCCAAAGATGGTACCTAATTTGTTGATAGAGATAGGAGGAAGAACAACATAATACATTGAATAATAACAGTATTACAGAACCAAAAGTCATAGCCTTAAGGAAGAGAAAAGGGTATAATAGAAACTTTGGAGTCAGACTTTACTACCTTCATATGACATTGGGCAAATATTTTATTTAGCCTCTTTGAGCTTTAATCTGCTTTCTATAAAATGGGATAAAATCCAGGCTTTCCCTAGTGGCGCAGTAACCCCTGTGCTCTATCTCAGCTCTATGAAGCTATCACTAGCCACTATGGCACTAGTTCAATCCCAGACCAAGGAGCTAACCCACATATGGTGCAGCAGACCTCTCCTATCTCACCTGCTGCTCCCCTCAGCAGTGTATTTCAGTAGATCCACCTGTTCTGCTCCCCACTCTGCCTCTGGTGAATCCTCTTAACTCCTGTACCTCTGGCCTACACCCCAGTTCTTGTATACATAAATAAGCAAAAATAAATCTTAAAATAAATATAAACACTTTAATAAATAAATAATAAAATAAAATGGGATAAAACCAAGTACAAAGTCACTGAGATGATTGGAGAGAAAATACCAAATATAAAATGCTGGGTACAATGCCTAAAGGTGCTTAATAGGTACCTGCTATTTTTTTTTTTAAGATTTATTTATGCATACACAGACTGGGGTACAGGCCAGAGGTTTTTTTGGGGGGTGAGAGGATTCACCAGAGACAGAGTGGGGAACAGAACAGACAGATCAACTGAAACACACTGCTGAGGGGAGCAGCGGGCGAGTCGGGAGAGGTCTGCTGCGCCAAGTGGGCTAGCTTTCTGGCTGGAGACCAAACTTGTGCTGCAGTGACTGGCAATAGTTTGATAGCACAGTGACTTAACCCCTGTGCTACCATGGAGGCCCCTACTTCCTTGACTTTTTTTTAATTGAAATATAAATCACATACCATAAAATATGCCATGTTAAATTATTCAATTCATTGATTTTAGTATATTCACAAAAGTAAGCAACCATCACCATTATCTAAACCGAGAACTTTTTCATTGCCCCATAAAGAGACCTCATACCTCCCTTCCAATTCACTCCATTCTCCATCCCATGGCAACCATGTTTCCTTTTTTATCTCTAGAGATTTGCCTTTTCTAAACATTCATAAAAATGGAATCACATAATGTGTGTTCTTTTTGCCTGACTTCTTTCATTTAGCATGTTTTCTAGGTTCACCCACCTTGTAGTATGTAACAGTACATTATTTCTTTTGCCAAATAATAATTCCTTGTATGGACTCAACCTGTTTTATTTATTCATCAGATAATGGACATTTAGGTTGTTAACACCGGCTATTATGATAAATGCTGCTATGAAAATTCATGCACAAGTTTTTCGTGTGCATATGTTTTTAATTCTTTTGGGGCATATAATTAGAAGTGGAATTGCTGCATAATATCATAACTATATGTTTAACTTTTTGAGGAACTGCTAAACATTTTCTATAGTGCCATACGATTGAATTCTCACCAGCAAGTTTGAGGGCTCAAATTCACTCACACACCAATGCTTCCTATTTTTTGGTTGTTTGACTATAGCCATCTTGGTAGATATGGAGTGATATCTCATTATGGTTTTGATCTGCATTTCCTAAAGACTGATGATATTGAACATCTTCTCATATGTTTATTGGCCATTCCTGATTTTTCTTTGGTGAAACCCTATTTTTTTTTATTTTTTTTTTTAATAAATTTTATTGTTATATTCCCCATACAATTGCAGGCCCCCCATTCTGACCCCAATCCCTCCCCTCCCACCCCGCCCCCCTAAAAGTGTCTCTGGTTCATAGTTTTTTGTTGATTTTGATTTTCACTTTCTTATAGTTATTCATTTTCCTGGTCCCTTATTTAAGTTTTCTAGATTCCTGCTATGAGTGAGACCATCCGGTATTTTTCTTTTTCTTTTTGGCTTATTTCGCTGAGCATGATCCCTTCCAGCGCCATCCATGTTGCTGCAAATTGCATGTGTTTATCTTTTTTGAATGCTGAGTAATATTCCATGGTATATATGTACCACATCTTCTTGATTGAAACCCTATTTTAAATCCATACTTTTTTTTAAAGATTTATTTATTTATGCATACAAGAGCTGGGGTACAGGCCAAAAGTGTGGGGGATGAGAGGATTCACCAGAGACAGAGCAGGGAACAGAATAGGTAGATTGGCAGAAGTACACTGCTGAGGGGAGCAGCATGCGAGGGAGGAGAGGTCTGCTGCACCGTGTGGGTAGCTCCCTGGCCAGCCGGGGGATCGAACTCCTACTGCAGTGGCTGTGGAAAGCTTCATAGGTTGTGTCTTAACACCCTGCACCACCAGGGAGGCCCCTCAAAACCATACTTTTTTTTATTGAGTGATTCTTCCTTTTCTTATCGAGTTCTAAGAGTTCCTTATTATTATTACTATCAGCCGCTTATCAGATACAAGATTTACAAATATTTTCACTTTCTGTGGGCTGTATTTTCACTTTCTTGATGGTATTGTTTTTTTTTTTTTTTTTTAAAGATTTATTTATTTTTATACAAGAACCGAGGTATAGGCCAGATCCACGGGGGGTTAGAGGATTCACCGGAGACAGAGCGGGGAACAGAACAGGCAGACTGACAAAATACACTGCTGAGGAGAGCAGCGGGTGAGGCAGGAGAGGTCTGCTTCACCATGTGGGAACTTGCTGGCTGGCCGGGATCGAACCCACACTGCAGATGCTGCAGACAGCTTCAACAGTGTGGCGCTCAACAGCCTGCACCACCAGGGAGGCCCTTTCTTGACGGTATTCTTTGAAGCATGAATGTTTTTATTTTTTATCAAGTCCAACTGATTGGTTTGGTTGGTTGGTATTTGTCACTTATGCTTTTGATTTCATATCTGACAAGCCATTTCCTAATCCAAAGTCATGAAGAATTTCTTCTTTGTTCTTTGCTAGGGTTGTGAAGCTTTTGCTCTTACATTTAAGTCTTTGATCCATTTTGAGTTTATTTGGGTATAAATGTAAGGTAAAAGAATCTAAATTAATTCTCTTGCATGTGGATATCCGGTTGCACCTTATTTAATAGACTGTTTCTCTCCACTGAATTGCGTTGGCACCCTTCTCAAAAATCAATTGACTATAATTACAAAGTTTTATTTCTGTACCCTCTGTTCTTTTCCATTAATCTATATGTCTGTCTTCATGCCAATCCAGCCTGTCTGGATTACTGGAGCTTTGAGTGAGTTTTGAAATCAGGAAGCGTGAGTCTTCCAACTTTGTCCCTCAAGAACAATTAGTTTGAATGCTAGCATATCTTTATCATATTGAAACTATTACAGAACGTCTTCCTCTTAGATAAGGTGGAGAAACACTAACAAATCTTTCCTACTTTTATTTTTTTATGAGGAAATCTCTTACCCCAAGACTGTTTATCAATTCACTCACCAACTAGGCTTTTCTGACATTCAGCTATTTATAGGAGGCTACAAGTATACTTTTTGGTATTAACAGGCATACAGACACCATAACTTTCTTGTAGTGGGATATATATATTGTTTGTCCTTGAGTCGTGGCATATTTTCTTAGTTCTCTGTCTTGGTAAAGGACAAACAATGGCGAGGCTAGCAGACTGGGCCTCAGGAAACCGGACTAGACTCTGTGGCCTAAGGTTTTGCATCTTAGAATGAGGAGTAGGTAAAGCAGTCCTACTTTATAGCATCTACTTTTAACAGATATTTGAGGGAGGATGTGTAGTATGGGGGAAGAATGATGAAGTTGCCAAGAACACTTGGTTCAGGTCTCGGATTGACTTCATATAACTGTGATCCTCTTATATTCTATTTAATTCACAAAGTATAGCTGCTTTAGTTGTGATATCCCTAAAGTTTAGTTATGGATTGGTGGTTTTTACAAGGTTGCTCCCTTGTACATGGGGGAAAATAGAAGTGAACAAGAAAGGCTGAGGCCATTCATTGGCGTGTCACATGAAGGCAAATGAGATAAACACAGGAAACTGATACATAAGCGGCAGGCCTAGTTAATCCAGAGTCAGAGCACTGAGATCAGCCTCGTCTCAGCAAGTGATCAAGGTTGCTTGCTTTCATAAGGTAGAAAATAAGGTGGTACCAAACATTTGGAGACAGGCTGGATACCAGAACAGTATTAACAGGGAATAGAAAGAGAAAAAAGAGCAAGAGTAGCTATTGTAGCTTTTGGTTTTTTTTTTTAGTTTTTAATCTTACCTTCATAATATTTACCTTTAAGCACGGCTTTATTCCTCTGAAAAAATCAGAGAACATGAAGACATAGTTTTTATATTTTTTTTGAAGATTTATTTATTTATGCATACAAGAATTGGAGTACAGGCCAAAGGTGCAGGGCTAAGAGGATTCACCAGAGACAGTGTGGGGAACAGAACAGGCAAATCTACTGAAATCTGCTGAGGGGAGCAGTGGGTGAGACAGGGGAGGTCTGCAGTACCATGTGGGTTAGTTCCCTGGCCAAGGATCAAATTTGTGCTGCAGTGGCTGCGGATAGCTTCATAGTGCTGCGTCTTAACCCCAGGAGGCCCTAAGACTTAGTTTTTAGATCAATATGAGGGAAATACATTTTTTTTTTAAAGATTTATTTATTTATTTATACATACAAGCACTGGGTACAGTCAGAAGCGCGGGAGGGTGAGAGAATTCACCAGAGCCAGAGCTGGGAGCAGAGCAGGCAGAAGGACCGAAGTACACTGCTGAGGGGAGCAGCAGGCGGCAGGAGAGGTCTGCGTGCCATGTGGGACCATCCTCCGGTGGGCGGGAAGCAGCCGGGGAT